GATGAATGATCTGGATCACCGATTCGTTTTTTAAAACTTTGATTTGAACCAATGTTTCAAAATATGTTGATTTCCAATCCGGTTGCCTATCTGGCTGTAGAATCGATCGGGATCAAATAGGTTATGCAATGGCATCATCTCGATCCCTTCCCCCCTAAAATCCCACTTTTCAAATTTTTTTTTTCTTTTTTCTTCGAGCGTCTCTAATGTATGTGCCCCCCCTCCCTAAATCCTCTCCCTATGAACTTCAATTTTAATTTTAATTTTAATTTCAATTTTATTTTTAAAATTTTTTAATTACAGATCCGAGCACGATTTGCATCGCCGATCCAGCATATCCGTATGGGGATCATAGTTGGACGATTTGCACCGCCGATCCGTTTTTCAAATATTGATCTGAACACAAGAACTCTTCAAGCATCCACATGTGGACCAATCCCATTTTCTTTTTGTTCTTCATGCTTGGTGAGCATCGAACACGAGAAAGACTACGAAAATTTGGTGGGTATAGGAGAGGGAAGGGAGAGAAGGAGTGGCGCATGACGGATACGAGATATCCCATGAATCAGCACATGAAATTTATGACTAATGAAGGGATACAATTTTCATGTTTTTTATATTTTATTTGGACCATGACCCTTTAATAATAGGGTGCGGTCTCTGTGTGGTTGTAACTTTAAACAATCCAATTAAGACGCATCTTCAAATTTTATTATAACATGTGATTTTGATGTAAAATTTTTATTGGATTATCTGCAAATTTATTTTTACATCTAACTATAAAATTTTAAACTCCAAAAATGATTAAAATTAAGTAGATTTATACATATATAAAAATCTTGAAAATGGATGGTCTAGATAATGTGTTGCAAAGAAAACTATTTTTGGGACTCAAAATCTTTTTTTTTTTTTATATATATTCATACATCTCGCTGTCGAGATGATCAATTAGAGAATTTTTCAACATTAAAACAACTTTTTTAGATGGATTTTTGAGACGCACCTGTTATTCTACATTTTGAGGTTAACCTTACATAAACTTTTTCCTTAACTAAATACGACGCCCTATAAATTTTTTCTTTAAATAAGAGGTTTATGTTTGCTCTTACAAGTTCAAATTGTATGCATACTCCCTCGTTTCAAACAGTTGTTTAGGTATTTGGAGGGTTTTTGGCTCTTTGCCATTCAAGGATACAATCACCTAGTGTTTCAAAATTCGCCCATCTGTATCTGAAATCAGTCAAGACCAACCCAATTCATGGTCGGAATAGGGAATCAATCCGATCTTGATCGACTCGCTTGGTTCGGTCAAAGAACCAAGTGAAGCTTGTTATGTGCCATGTAGATCTCTATTAGGACTAGGCCATCCAGATGCCCCAAATCCCCAGTTTCGACCCATTTAATTTTTTGAAGTTTACGTTATTTAAAAGGGAAAATAGTAAATACCCCCCAACTTGGGCTTTCTAGACAACGTCCACCTAACCAATTTTTTTATCGCACCCCAAAACATACATTCTTGCAAAGGAAAAGTTTTTATATAGAACTTAGGTTCTAAACACTCAAATTAGAGGCGACCTCAAAAATTTCACTGGAAGATGTTGTTTTGATGCTTAATGATCCTTTAATTGGTCATTTCGACATCAAAGATGCATGGACATGAGAAAAAAAAAATGAATTTCAAGTTTTGAAAATAGTGAATCTTGTAATGCAGTTTTGAACCGTTGATTTTCAATATTTGCAAGTTTTCATAGATTTGCTCGATCTACACTATTTTTGAAGCTTTAAATTTTATAATTAGATATAAAAATATATTTTAAAGCTATCACAAAGATTTCCAGTAATGAAACCATATTTCTCAACACTATTTGAAGGTGTGTTTTATTTTGATTGTTTAGAGCCTCGGCTCCATACAAACCGCACCCTTCTAGTCAATACTCCCTGGTCAAAAAGTCCTATGTATTTTAACCAAAAATGCCTTTGTCTGTACAAGCTCGCATCACATCCCCGGCATGAGGTGCACTCGGTCTGGCACTTCCAATTGTCGGTCCGGCATTGTATCTCTGTCAACATAGTGTGCAAGCGGTCAGGCCCAAGGTGTCCTCGATCCAAAAATATTCAATGGGTTCGACAATGGTTTTAGCTTGGTCCGGCACAAGGTGACATTGGGTTGACACTCTTTTACCTCAGTCCAACATATTTTTCATGCCAGCAGCTGTAAATTGGGGTCTGTCAATGGTTTTATAGTACCGATCAGACAATTTTCTACTGCGGTCTGGTAATTAACCTTTGGTCAGTGTGCATTCTACAAGGATATGATACAAGGGCATTTTGTTCCAAATAAATATGAGTTTTTAATTGAGGATATTTGCTAGAAAAATAAGTTTTAAGATAAAAGTTGCAATAAAAAAATTAGTTGGAGGGAAGTTGTGTAGAAAGTCATAATTGAGAGATCTCCCAATTTCTTTATTTAAAACTACAATTTTTATTATTGTCTTTAGTGAAGCTTTCTAAGTCCTCTTTATAACATAGAAGTTCTATCCTTCCCCTATCATCTTGCCGTCTATTTTTTTTATAAAGAGAGCCCCTCACCGTTTGATATTAAATTTGACGTTTTTATAAAGAGAGCCCCTCACCGTTTGATATTAAATTTGACGTCTCAAAATATTTTATCTTTAAGTTTTTTAATATAATTTTTGTGAATATGAAATTTGGTGCGTGCCATTTCTCGTTCACTTTGGGAATATTTTTGTAAGAACCTCGTCCTGCGTCTCAATGGTGCGAGGAAATGGTCCCAGCGGGAGTGCAGTTGTTTTCGCAATAACTTTCGTTCGTATGATTAATGCAAAAGGCTCATTAATCATTGCAAAGGCCAGAAATGAAATGAGCTCATCAGTGCAACTGGGGCGCTACATCGCGTCATGGGATTCTTGCTCTTCCTCTCTGTGTCTCAACTCAATTATTGCCATTAACAAACGCACAAGGCTTATTAATAAGACCTGTGAAGCACAAGGTGGAAGAAGAGGAGGTATAAGTATCGGTCTCCTCCTCCTTCTCCCATCAAATAAGATGAACTCTATCTCTGCAGCCTCCTCTCCATCTCCATCACAAAATAGTAACAGAAACAGTAGTATGGGTTCTGATTATGACTTCTCAAAATACACTGAACTCCACCGTCCCGAAGATTTCAATGCTCTAACATCTCCCATGGATGGCTATTTCACTGTTTGTGGATTTGGCTCTCTTCTCTCTGGTGAGCTCTGCTTATTTCTCCATTATGTAATCCTTTTCTCATAGCACTAACTTTTTACATCTTCTTCTAGTGTTATCAGTTAATTCACTGACCTTTACTGCATTTTCCATTGATGATGAGAAGTGAGGGCTAAGAGAGGTTCAATTAAGGAAGAAAGAAGCAATTGGTATGAGAGAAAATGTGAAGAAGAATGGGTATTTATAAATGACTGATTTGTGCTTCTGTGTGCTTGCATTTTTTGTTTTCTGCAACTGATTTACTTTGTCTGAGAATGAATCTTTTGTTCTTAATCTCAACTGGGCATGGCTTAGTCAATGCCAATTGACTGACAACTTAGTTAATGTTCAAAGAGATAATCCTCTGCTTTTTATCGAATTACTCTCTTCTTGGAATAATCTAGGGTACTGGTCTTAGATTCGATACCTTCCGGTCTTCTATTGTCATTCGATCAGTACAATGCACCAATCTCCTCTATAAATATTAATTTGCATATTGAAAGTCCATAATTTATCGTTTGTCCATTCCAGTCAATGGGAACTGGTATGTAGGTTTTCTTAAAAAATGTTACCAAATCGAATTCTCTTCCTGGAATCTTGTAGCTGTTGAGTGCCCTGTAGATTTCAGCTTGTGTGTTTTCTCTCCTCAGAAATTTGTGACTGTTCAGCGTGCTTTGGTTCAAGAAATTTCTAACTCTTTATTATCTATATTTCTCGTGATTATTCAAGTAAATTTTCTGTAAAAACAACATATTTCTGGAGTCAATGTTATGATTATAAATAGGGGCTATTCTATTTTGTTTTGTCGGGGAAAGGATGTGAAGATCAGTTGCTATTTTGCTTGGAATTCATGGAGTTCTTGCTGTAGCGATACTGATGTTTCTGAGTGTGGTCCTTTCTTAAAACCAGCACCTTGTTGTGCATAGCTTTTTACTTTTGTGAGATAGGTCCTTCATACAATTTGACACATCCAAAAGAAAAGGAGAAAACCAACACGATAAATGCTTCTCACCAATACTGCTCACACACAATGTAGTTCGTTAGAGATGATGCACAGTGGATATTTGCCCAGTCCCACATATGTATGAAAGATTCTCAAAACTTTGGACTGTTTGCCGGTTAAAACCATGAAAAAAATTTGGCGCACCACCCAGCTTGAGAGTCTGAATCTTGTGCATTTTTTTGACATAAATGATAGTCAACCTATGATATCCTCACATAAGCTATTGTCCTTTTTATTAAACTGGTATTTTTCCCTCTGTATATTCCTGAGTAACTTTCTTGCATCTCTTCTTTTGCTTCATCATCACTTACACATCTAATAGCACCTTGTTGAAGGATCTTTGTATAGTTCTCCTCCTCGCAACACATTATGAATTGCATCCACTTTGTTGTTTGTTTAGCACTTGATGGGCCATATTTTGAGAGACTGAGCATCAAACTGATATTTTGATGGGTAGTTTTATATTTTCTCATATCGTATATAATTGCTGCATGGGCAGCATTTTCTACAATACCAACATCAGTGATTGGAGCATTTTCTACAAAACCCACATCAGTGATTGACAATAGTTCATCAGCTTTGGGTCTTAATTATTTTCTCGACTTTGGAAGGAGTTAATTTGCAATTGTTGTGGCTGTGCTATCAGAATAACTGGTGTGGTCACTGCTCTGAAGGAAAGTGGAATAAAAACCTTTTGAAAGTGCAAGTTTGGTTACACGGCGTATAAATCAGGTTTCCTTACTTTGCCAAGCATTCCATAGTTTATGACCAGTTGTGAATCTAAAATGGCCAAGACACTCCTTATCCGGAATTTTGGGTAGTTTATACATCACAGGTTTTAGCCTAGAGACTAGTAACTCATTTTCTGCCATATTTAGATCTCATATTATGTGAATAAATTGATCATGTTTCTGCAATTTACATATATTATGGCATGTGTCTATGAGGAAGTACATGCGTTTGTGGACCTTACCACGACTCAGACAAGGATTCTATTGTCCTAAAATGCTGTCTTTTAGTATTTTCTCTTTTATTCTTTTCATCTTCCTTGTCCCTCGTGTATTTAATTCTCCATTGTCTCTGCTCCATGGAGCACATCTAGGTGGAATTTTCTTTTATCTCATGGCTATCCAAAAAATAAAAGCTATGTGCAGTATCTTAGAGAGTTTCTACTATGCATGAACGTAAGCTTGTATTTTTTTCTAAAGATATCAATGGATGCACAAATTGTGTAAACAGAGCATGTAAATAGCTATATATTGAACTCTGAACTTTAATGACCCGTATGAAAAACATAGGAGGTTTATTAAACCTGCAGATATTGATAATCTCGTTACAGTAGAACCCAGAAATATGCTCTTGAGTGGTGTGACTATCCCCAAATGATTTCGTGCACAGGTCTGGCTTATATTACTATGCTTCTTCATGGGTCATCATAGTCTTATTGTATATTAGATTAGAGTGATGATGATCTTCATTTGGTTGTTGGATTCATTAACATTCAACAAAGTTGTTGCTTTAAAGCCTTTACTTGTTCAGGGTGTCCAAGTATTTCAGGCTGTTAGAGCTTTTGCGTTCATAGGTTTTATGTTCAATATCTCAAATTTCATCACTCAATTTATGCTTTTCCTATTTCTTTTCTGATCCTCCTCCCCGCAGTTGGAGGTGGGAGCCAGGGTTCATTGCTTGCTAGGAGTTCCTTAGTCTGGGGGGCCATAAGGGCACCCATATAGTTTAATATATAAAACTAAAGAAATTTTTAAAAAATTAAAAGAGACTTTTCTGAAAATCTTTAGATGCCAAATTAATGTATTAAAAATATATTCTAAAACAATTACAGTGAATTTAATCACACGAAATTGAGGGTGATTTACTTGAACCTTCTCATATATGAGTCACTCACAATAATATGCTAAAAAAATTTAATATGCAGAGAGAAACTTATAGAGAAGAAAGGGAGAGGGAGATCATATTTTCTGTTGTACATATTTAAAAAAAAATGATGGGTCAAAAGTCCCATAACTATTTGTACATTAAATGCAATTTTGGAAGCATTGAATTAAAAACTTTCTCTTCAGGATTGATGTGTATTTGAGAATCTCAGTTCCTTTGAAAATTTTGAGGAACGTGGGATTGAATAATTATTGCTTTGTATTTTTATTGATATGCAGTTGTTGCTTTCAGTTTTTGGATATGCATATATTGCTTGTTTTCCTTTGAATATATAAAGAATAAGGGTCTGTATTGACCGACTCCCATTGGCTTGTGATCGTGCTCCCCCAACATGTGACCATGGCCTAATCATGATCCCACTCAGAGCATGGGACTGCGTTCCCAGAATGGGGCTGCAACTGTTGTTCGGAGATGCCAGTTACTAAGCTCCCTCCATTAGTGTAACAATGTCCTCATTAATTTTGTATATCATATATGTATTTAATAGGTGGTATTTCATATAGTTTCTTTCATGTTTTTGGCATTTTTTTAATTGCTTCTCTGAATCCTCTCAAACCAGAAAGAAGCACACGGGCTACATTCCCAGAGCCGAGAAACTTTAGAATGGCTGCCTTGCGAGATTTTAGAAGGGTCTATGCTCATGTTGCTAATGTTTTCTATGATCGTGGGGTAGCAAAGGAGGATACAAAGGTTCAGTTATGAGTCGTGTTTTTCCTTTGATCAGGAATCTGTTTTCGCACCATCCATTTTATTTGTTTGTGAAGTGTAAAAAGCATTTTCATATCTGATGATTTCTTGACTCTGTATATGAGTGTTGTAGGAAATCTCAAGCTTGAGTGTGGAACCATGTCCTGGGGAATATATTATTATCACTGTCTTTGAGATACAAAAGACAGAGGTAAAGCTAAATGCATGTCGTGCAATCCTTTTTCCATCCATTCGGTTTCTACATAAGTCAGTTCACCTGGTTTTCCATATGTATGTAACTTTTTAGATTCTGAGGACCAATCTGTGTCAGAAAGGCTTCTGATTGCTAGATAATTTAGTTCATTAGATGTGATGCTAACATAAATTTTAACTTCTCTGGGTTGAACCTATAGATGAGATGAGTTTGACTGCCTGACTTATTTTTTTGTTCTATAGGCTGCAGCATTTATAAATAGGGAGCCTGAATTTCGTTACATACTTGTAAGTTGAACATCTATATTAATGTTATGGAACTTGATTTTTGCTATACAAGTGGATTTATTTTCCTGTTAGATTTGTTTTTGTATTGGTAAAAGTTTCTCTGGATCCAAAATGGATGCCTGATGTTAGTTATTTGACCACCTACCGAGTAGAACAAATGTTACAACAGGTTGTGCCTGAGGATTTAGATGGGAAACCTTTTGCTCATCCAGCAGTAAGTTTAAATTTCACCATGCACCACTTGGATCTAGATAAGTATTTCTTTTAGTATAGTGTTGTTGTAAGCATTTTCTCTTTTACCCTTTCACACACTACTTGTCTCCTTGTTACTTATACAGGTGATATGTGCTAGATATAGCGATGAAGAATTTTTCCACGTGAGATGCCAAGGTAGTCATGTATGTTTAGTCATGCCCAATGTTATCATTTTAATAAAAGATGTTTAATACCTTTCTCAGAAAATTGGTGATGAACCATGAGAATTTGGTTGCATTATTGTTTGGAAAGGTTCAAACGAGACAACCAAGAAAATAAGTACCATGTAGCTCTATTGCACCCACATTAGTTTTACTAGTAACTTATTGACAACGGATAGTTTAAATACAGGAATATAGATAGTTAACATGTGTATTCCACTCTAAAGTGAAGTGTGTGTATATCATAGTACATGTGAATTTTATGTTTATACGTATGTGTGTGTGTGGAGAGTGATTTCATGCAATTGTTCTATAGTAATATAATGAAACAAAATTTAATAACCATAGTAAGGCTATTTGTTTTGACTCCAAATTTTAAATTACACTATTTTCATTCTGATGAAAAAAAAAAAAAAACAAATTTTAAAAACACATCGTAGAAAGTGTTTGTTTAGAGCAATTAACATAGGTCACCCATTTTGGTGAGATGCTTAGATCTAGTCCGTAGAATGATTTTTTCCCTTCCAAATTTTTTAGATGACTTTATTATCATTAGATGAACCATGTTTAGAGGAAAAAAAAAGAAGAAGTGATTTTGAGGTTGTAAAGGCCTAGAACTTGAAATTCACCAAGTGGATGGTATAGATTCATTGTTGGAGGGGGGCTCATTTTGAGTATATCTAGGGTGAAAATTGGATTTTATTTTTTTTGAGATTGATTGCGATATATATATATATATAAGGAAAAGATGGGATTAACCCACTAACTCATATAAACATGTGAACCCAATGTCCCAAATTGATTTTGGGCTGATCTGACGATCACGGATGCCTGGTAGTGTTTGAATTTTAGTTTTTTCTCTAAAAATCCAAATCACTTGAAATTTTAGGCGTGTGTTCATCAAAAATAGGTGAATCTTTTAAAAATATCAAAAACATATTTTACATGAAAT